TGGTGAAGCCGCGTTCAGGGGCGGCCATTCGGTCTCGGACGATTATCACTGTGACTTCCTAACTATAAAAATATTGGATGGAATCTCATAAGAAAACCAAACATCAACCATTGTGACAATGGGATCATACATTGTTTGGACTAAAGCGTTGATAAGAATCCGAGTCATCCGTTATTATAACTTTTCACGGTACAGACTCACTCTCGTTTCCCAAGTGTCATTGAATACACCAGACGCAGCAGACACGTGACTGTTTTGTCCAAACACAAATGGCGGCCGCTGAGAACGCCGGGCTCGCGCCACTAATACATTCGAACAAATCCAAAAAAATGACTTAAAGATAGAGATAAATATGATCTGTAAAACAGTATGGCGGGAGCAATTTTGAAGCCGCAATCGGTCTCGGACGAGATCTGAGCAGCAAACGAGCACCAATCAACTCCACACGAAGTAAGTTTCAGTCGACAAAACGTCACTTTAACGACGACACAGAAAGCAATATGGGCTCAGAACAAATTAAGGGGAACTATTTGAGCACGGCATTATAATAAAAACGAATAGAAATATTATGTAGACTTGTTAATTAATTGGGACTATCAAAGAGATGCGACTCGCCACTGTGCACTCCTCGTTACTCTGAGTGACGACACGGCGGGAAGTAGGCGCGCCACCGTGTGCTGTTGCGTCACTTCCGCCATAATTTTAGACATTTTACGTATCACTCCGTTTCAGATATATATATTTATTAATTGAGCAAAGTTATAGACAATACATATTTTACATATTATCTTTTTACAAGGCAAAGAAACGAATTTGTAAAAAGTGAGAAGTCCCCTGAGCGTAAACCCCAAAGAAGGACGTGATCTGGAACAGTCAGTCAAGTCACGCGTGTGTGTGTGTGTGTGTAAATGTCATATTGCTGTTTTTGCTCAGGATGAAGAGGAGGAGGCGGAGCCGTGCGCGTTCTGGCCAGGGAAAGGCGAGTCACTCAGCTGGGAGACGTTGACTGTCACTCAAACGTGCGAGAACGTCATCTGCTTGGCCAACGAGGACATGCTGCTCGTTCACCACTTGGCCGTGCATGTCGCGCAGGTGACTGACTCGCTTCAAATCACTTCAAAATCACAACAATCTCATCTGAAAATGAAGCTGACAGATTGTGCAGGAGAAAGTAAGAAGCAGTCTTGCTTGCGTTCAGGATGACTTTGTGGCCGAGGTCCGCCTGTACCGCGCCCCGCGCTGGCCCGACCCCGACTGCGCCATCAGCGACACCTTCCTGCTGGTCCCCCTGGTCCGGGAGGAGACCTCCACCCAGGAAGGAGCTACCGTGCTCGTCGACCGGTACGCCGCCCGTTCGCTTGCTGCCGTCGCCTTCCCGAGAAATAGTCTGCTGACATTCTTGCCGCCCTGCCAACGCAGCCTGGGCGGAGTCACCGCCGGAACCTTCTGCGCGCTGTCATCTCTGATTGGTCAGCTTCGCGATCGGCGATGCGTCGACGTCTTCGGAGCAGCCAGGATGACCAACCTCGCCAGGCCCGGAACCTTCCGCACACGCGTGAGCAACAAACGCAACATTCACTCGCTCTTTTTCTTTGTCTAACAATCTATTAGCGTTTCGCAGATATTTTTCAAAAGAAATACTTGACTTATTTTACAATCAGATTTTTTTTCAAATTTCTCGAAGAATTTGTTTTCTCATAATATTGAAAAAAATCTGATGAAAAATGAAAAAAAAGAGCTGTTCTCCATATATTTCGTGGTATTTGTCCCATATACAACTTTTGTTTTCCAAAACCACGCGCTGGCAAGCCAGTTTAAAACTTTTCCGACGACAACTGACGATCAGTTGCCAACACACTTCCTGTTTGTAATACGCCTGAACATGATTGGCTGCCACGTGGCTTTGCTTGAACGCAATTGGCTGTTTGCATTTTCTGGTCAGGACCACTTGGAGTTCCTATACAAGGCCCTGTTGAGCGTGCTGGACGAGCCAGGCGGCCAACAAGACCAAGACCAAGTCCACCAAGACGACGAAAGCCAAGAAGAGAGCCGGCCAATGAGGAGCGCCACGAATTGTGAGCGCAATGGCGCATCCGCACCACCGGGAGGCAAACGAGCGCCCAACGGACTCGACTCGCTGGTGTGATCAGCCGAGAAAGAGCGAGTTCGCGTTTTCCTTGGTCTTCGGCGAGAGTGCTTTTTGGGCGTCAACGTGGTCTCTTTTTGGAACGTGCCTTTTTTTTTAACTCTTTGCGGTCACTCTTTAACGCCGTCACAGCAAGACAACTAACGTTGGTATTTTTGCATATTTATTGGCAGCAGCAATGAAAAAGGAACACGGGAGCAGTAGCAACTTTTTTTCACTTTGTGTCGGTAATATTTCACCTCAAAGGACCAAATTGTATTTATACTCTACCACATTTTTATATGTAGTGCTTCCGTCAAAGGCTTTTCTTTTTAATCTTCACTTTAGATGACACAAACCCGCACGTTTATAACAGATCTCTTTCTTTGTTTGCACTCTGCTGCTTTCGTTTGCCATTCAACTACAGTACCACCAAAATCCTGATGGTTTGTTTTTTGGTTGTTGTTTTTTTTTGTTTGTTGCGCACCAAACTGTGGGATTCAGCCGCAATAATTCACTCACAATTTTTCAGAGAAAATGTTGTTTTGTTCCTTAAGTAAAAAAGTGACATGGTTAAAAATTCTACCCGATTCCTTTTTTTAAGTCGTCGTAAAAACAAAAATGTCTCTGAAAAAAAACACAATTATCTTTCAAAAAACATTTACCAGGGAAAATATTTTTAAGAAAACAAATCACAGTTCTTCAGCAACTATTCTCAAAAGATTTTTTTCCGCATAAAAGAAAACTTTTAAAAGCAAACAATTACACCCATCCGAAAATGTTTTCCGAAAAGCAAGCACTTTTGACAGACAGAAGTGACCTTAAAAATTAATTCAAAAAACCGAATCATTACTGTAAAAAAAAGCCAATGCTTTCTTTTATACAAATTACAAAGTAAAATTTTGACCCCCCCCCCCCAAAAAAAAAGCTTGGTGAAAAAAAAGAATATCATAAAATCCCGTGTATAAAACGCCCGCCCAAAATTCACCTTAAAATGTTTTTTTTTTTTCATCTGTACGCGTCTGTATAATACTCTACCCTGATTTGCTGGTATCCATTGTTATCATCTGGTCGCATTTGTGCAAATGTTTCTCATGCTGCCATAACTCAGTCTGACTCTTCTCTATAAAACAGTATCGTTGAAAGTTGTCCTCTTTTTTTGTACGAGCTCGTAAACGCACCACTGGCTCGCGAAATGGCGTCACTACCACAGGAGCGATCTCACCTGGCTCGATGTCACCTTTCCTTCCCGTTTGTTGTTTGGCGTCAAGGAGAGACGAAAACGCGCTTCCTTTTCAATGGAGGAACGGAAAGCACCGCTTCAAACGAATTCGACTGCACTTTCCCAACCGACGTCATCTGTGGTGCAGTACTACGTTCGAGCCACACGAGGGCATTGTTTATCCACGAGACTGCTGCTCGTTCATTTCAACGTGGACAAACGGTGATTTTTTTTTTGGGGGGGGTGGTGTCGTAGGGGCAGGTTGGGGTAATCAGTGATCCAATAAATAAGACAGAAAAGATCGAGTTCAGTATAAATAAAGTATATTTATTATATTGGAGTGTCACTCAGTTTGTATAAATATAAAGTTGAACATTTTGTGTCACGACAAACAAACAAGCATTAAATACATTTGACAACCGCTCTTATTTACATCAGCTCATATGTACAAAAATATGGTCCTCTGCTGCAGCGGAGCCAGCAAGCAGTCAATGGATGGATGAACTTTTGCAATTTCCAAGCAAACAGAACGTGTTATTTTTTTCCCCTCCCATGTTGTCGTCGTTGAAGTCCCAAGTGGAGGACGTGAAGGAAGCTTGAAGTGGAGGAATGTAAGCAACAATAATTCGCCTTCATTTTGGCTGCATGGATTTATCATCGACATCAATAAATACATCGACCATCTGGGGGCCAACAAACTGCGTAAAAGAAAGAAAGAAAAAGACAGCGGTGGTTTGATGAGCTACTATGAAAATTGGTTGTTTGGAGCCCTTGTATAGGCCCCCAGCAACAACTCCAAATTTGTTAAGAAAATTGGATAATTACATCCTGAAAAGAAGACATTTGATCTTTGGGCGTTTTGAGGAAGAAAGAACGTGTCACGTGTGCCGTTCTTACACTTCACAATTCACGTACACTTGTAACAGCTTAACATATTAGCTATGCCCGTTTATCTTGAAGTTGTGATCCCCCCCCCCACCATGAAGTAGAGGAATTGAAAAATCATTTCACGCACATCAAAACATTTGGAAAAATAACCGTGATGATGACAATTCGTCTCGTACGATTATTGTGATCATTCAGCACGTTGGGCAGGAAAGCATTGGAGTTCATTTGAAAGAAGTCACGCTGAGGTACAAACAACAATACCTAAAAGATACTTTTTTTTTTTTTAGAACATGACTAATGCGTGCGTGTTGTTTTTATTTTCATACTAAGCAGAAAATCCGGAAGCATTTTAAAACATTTCAAACGTGTCCCTGTGCTCTGCAAGCAGTTAAAATCAAAATGTCAACTTGTGGCAGTGGTGAAAACTGCTCGATGGGCGGGGTCAACCTATAGGACTTGGTAGATGAGGTTGGCGTCCTGTTGGTGGTCGGCGCTGTCGGCAGCGGCTTCGCTGCCAAAAATGGGAGTGCGGGCGAACAAAACGCCGAAACGAAGAGCAAGAAATCCAACATCAAGCCGTGGTTCCAATTTGGACATGGGGGGGCAGTGTGCACTTTCGAGTCCAATTTGCAAGATGCCCACAATCTCTCAGAGAATGATTTAGCATCTGGCACATATGACCGCACACTGTTGGCCCACGGTTGAACGAAACATTTTTCTTCCTCGCTCCACGTTGTTTCCTTGAATGAAGCCAATGAATGTAAGGATGATGAGCAGATTAGAAACATTCATATCGAATAGGAGCCAACTCCAAACCTGTGGTGGAGCTGGACTATCTCGGGAGTCTGGAAAACTAAACAAAACATTTTTTTTACCCCCTGCCGCGCCCCCCCCCCCCAAAAAAAAATATTCTTCTGAAAACGCTGATACTTATACATTCTCCACAGAGAACAGGTGGAGGAAAAAAAATCCTATCCTCCCCCTCAAAAAAAAAAAAACTCAGAAAATATGCAAAAGTCCTGGTCGCAATGGCCATTATTAGTTATGACAAAAGAAACGGGTAACACGTGTTCAATGTCAATAACTGAAGTGGGACAATAATTTGGAGGCCGCTGACGTCACGGTCTCTTACCGTTGCCGTTGTCGTCATTGAAAAAGTTGCTGGCGTCAAAAGTGGCTCGCTTGGACGAAGGGTAGCTCGGCCCGTTGAAGTCCGCCTGCACAAATCATCAGCATTGCATCGATTGATTGCTTTGGCATTCACACAGCAGATTCGCGTCGAAAATAAAATCGCAAATTCTTCAAGATGGAGTCCGTCTTTCAAAACAACACCATCACGAAAGACTTCAGGGAAAAAAAAAGTCATGTTTTGGAATTATTTATCTTGTTGATCTCTGGGTTGTTTTCGGTGGCCAATACAAAAAATATGATCAACAATTATATAATACGGACAATATTGTGTCGCTCCTACCCGTTTCGGTATTTTTTTTCTTTCTATCTCGAGGCTCTTGATCGTTTCCTCCGCTTGAAAAAATAGTTTCGAACGCTGGTGTCCGTGTGACGAATGGACTCAACTGTCACGTCGTCATGTGATTTTTCAGCAAACGGAAAAAACGAAAAATAACCCCCCCCCCCAGTGTCATTTTGATCACGAAACGTCCATTTCGACACGTGAATACGATGAGCCGATTTCCAAATGGCGTCGCGTCGTCGACGCTGACGTCGCTTTTCCTCCTCTCGCGAGGATTGTCAATTCTCTTTTGATTTCAAGCGATTTCTTTTTCTCGTCGTTTCATTTCAACCACTTCAAAGTGGCGCAAAAGAAGAGCTTTGGTTTTTGTTTTCTGAAAAAAAAAAAGGTGGCCGATTGGAAGTCATGAATTTCTCGTACGCTGGCATCGATTGTCCGGACGATGATCGTCGAATCATGCGCCTTTCAGTCGTTTTATTTTCTTTCGATTTAAAAAGGATGGAGCAAAAGATACTCATAATGAACGTGAATATGAAATAGCGTGTTCGACACGTGCGATAGTGTTAAACACTGATTTCGTGCTGTTTTATTGATGACACGAACTAATTTTTTCCGCTTGAAAACGAAACGATGGCAGCAAAGGAAGTCACTGTAGATTTTTTTGTTGTTCAGAGCAGTCACCTCAAAGTGACATGATCTAAATCCTTCCCTCTTTTCGGAATGAATCCAATCAGTGAAAAAACAAGTCCACTGAAAACAAACGCTAGTTTAAGAATAACAACGAATCCGCAGTCCTCCTATTGATTACGGTCGATTCGAAAATGAGAAAATAATCATCGCACTTGGCCTCAGATTTTCCGTCGCCTGAGGCGGCCGCTTTCTTTTCGCACGCGCTCACAACAGGCCGTATTGTGGAAGGCCATTTCCCCTCCACCCAAAAAAAGACATGATTTATTTATTTTCACTGTAAGACTGGCGCTTTATCTATGTTTATTTTACAGAACCATCGAAGAAGCCCAGTTTGCACCAATGGAATTTTTAGATGGGGAAGATATTTTCCGCAAATAAAAAAAGAATACTAAAAATATTTTACGTGGTAAGAGGCTCGTTCTGACAGCGGGGAAACCGTTTTTAATAGATGTATACAGTCTATATTTTTTTTAACTGGCGGGAATGGGCTTCCGTCCCTCCCGACCAATTTCTCGGTTCAATGTCAATTTCTCTCTCCTAGTTTTTTTTTTTTTTGTCCTTGTCCTGTGCGCGCCTCCTCACCATGCCGTCGGAGCAGTTGGAGCGGGGGCTGGAGGCGTCCGAGTCGGCGGCGTAGCGCTCCACCAGCGGGTAGCAGGCGTCGCCGGCAGAAGGGGCGGCGGCGGCGGCGGCCCCGGCGCGCAGCAGCGCCTGCAGCGCCTCGATGTATCCGATGGCGTTGCGCAGGATCTCGACCTTGGGCAGCCGCTGGTTGGGGTTGGCCGACGTGCACCGCTTGAGCGTCTCGAAGGCGTCGTTGACTTTCCCCAGGCGGCGGCGCTCGCGCAGCGTGGCGGCCTTGCGCCGGTCGGCGTTGGTGGTCTTGCGCTTGCACGCCTTGCACGCCCACAGCAGGCAGCGGCCCGCCGCGTGGTGGCCGCTGGGCGCGCGCACGTGCTCGTGCTCGTCGTCCTCACCCGCAGCACCGCGCGCGTGCTGCCCGCGGGAATGCACGCGCTGCGGCGAAGACCCGGACGACGACGACGACGACGACGACGAGTCGTCCGGCTTGCAGGCCTGCAGCAGGCCCGCCGCGTGCACCAGGCGGGGGTCCAGGTGGGGGTCCAGGTCCTCGAAGAAGCGCATGTCGCTCGTGTCGAAGCACGGGTCGTCGTAGAAGTCGTCGCCCGGACAGCCCGCGCCCGCCAGATTGAACGACATGTCCGATAGCTCCATGCTCCCCACCGGAAGTAGCCCTGCAGCCAGCCGCCTTAACTGCTGCTCATGTTGGAGGTGGGGTCGCGGTTGGTGGATGGGTGGGGGGTATAGAGTCCGCTCACTGGCACTTGATGTGAACCCCCGCACCCTCTCCGAACTTCTTATACCTGCCGGGTCACGCGTGGGCGTGCTGAGGAGGGCGACGTGCACCTGACGCTGTCCAATCAGTGGAGAGCAGCGGAACTTTTACCGCTTCACGCCACTTAGGATCCAATTACGAGCCCCCCTCCCCCACCCGACCCAACCACACGCACAAGCGTGTGTATGAGAACATCCCATTCCCATGCTGAAGTTGTTTTTCTTTTGTCACCTTGTCGGCCTTCATCTCATCTCCAGAATTCTTGAAAAGGATAAAAAAAGGCCCAGTTTACATTTAGAAAACATGCACGTATACAACGGGTGGGGTTTTTTCCAGGAACAAAATCAATAAAACATTGCCTACAATAAATCCCAACAACAGTACAAGTGCTGGGTGAAATTAATATATGTGCACTGCAACCTTCCACGCGCATGCCAAACTGTTTGAGAAATCGAAGCGGACTGCATGAGGGACTGGGTTGGGCCAGCCGGCAAATTGCGAAAATATTCACGCCCATTATCATTACCTTGATTGTTTTTATTATTATTTAATTCTTAAATACGCTCGATATACGGCCAAAAATGTTTTTCCGAAAAAATGGAGGTTGGCTCCTAAAACAAAAAAAAAAAAAATAGCATAAATGAACAAACGAAAAAAATAAAACAGACTTGTCTATCATGAAGTTCAGCGCAATAATTAACTCGTGACATTTAATTGTGTACCAGTAGGCCCAACGTGTGTGTTGTCAGTGAAAAATGACCTGAGTATACACGTGAACTTTGTTTTACGACAGCGCACGTTTGCCGGTCTTTATTTTTCGTTTGACATTTATACCAAAATGAGAACATGGAATGAATGAAAACATGACAGCTGCAAAATTAAAAGTAGGTATTATTTCATACGATGATACCATGTGCGCATAGTAGAAAATACAATTCAATCGAAAAAAATCATCACACCGTTACAACGCGTGTTGTAGTTGGATGACAGCGCGCCAAAAGCGCTTCACCTTTTTTTCTTGATTGATTTCATTTCGAACCTGCGAAAGGTTTGCTGATGGCGTTTATGAAAATCGTCCATACGAATGCAAATGATATGAAGCCCGGAAACAAAATGTGTCTGATGATGTCATGAAATATGGTCTGTATAATATTCTATTCAACTTGTGATCATGAGAATTAAGTACCTGAATGATGATGATGATGATGATGAATATAAAAGGCTCCTATGTAATTTTTTTTTCATGAGGTGAAGTTCGATTTTCTATATTTGATGACGAACGGCCCATCATTCTGCTGAATTTGGGACGGTGACTCGGCGTGTGACGTCACCGCCGACGTGCGGAGGAGCGCTTGTGAGTTGCCGCCGCTCGGGGGCGCTGCAGAGCACTCATGCTGCCATTGACAAAAGGGGACGTTGAGCTTTTGACGTTTTTATTTTGCGTTGTTTTCGTATTCAACAGTCATTCAAGTCTATCCCTGAAGGGAAATTATTTCTAAATATAATTTATACATAATAAGTCATAATATCAATAATAATAAATAAGTTGTCGGTTTGATTTTTTTTTAGGGTGCTTTCTGAAAGAAAAATCTTGGCCATTATTTGAGGAGGATGACGATATCGCCGAAATATTGGCCCTATGTCGAAAACATGACATGAGAACAGGGTAGGAATACAACCTCATACGACAACAAGTTGACGACAATATGAAAACGCGATGACATGACAACGTGGCCATGCGTATGACAAAATGAAAACACGACAACAAATGACATGAAAATGGAGAGGGTGTGACGTCATAATGCCCTATGTCGAAAACATGACGACATGAGAACAGGGTAGGAGAACAACCTCATACGACAACGAGTTGACGACAATAAGAAAACGCGATGACACGACAACGTGGCCATGCGTATGACAAAATGAGAACACGACAGCAAATGACATGAAAATGGAGAGGGTGTGACGTCATAACATCACGGTAGGTCAAATGGACAACCTAAAAACATGACATTAGACATGACAAAATGAGAACACAACATGGCCACATGATATAAGATGCCAATATAACAACGTGACGCGTACTATAAGATGGCAACGCAATACAGCGACAAAATGAGAATTTGTCGAGATGAATACATGATGACACAATAGCGGGACAAAATGGTGCCACAACGGCACACCAAAATGCTAACGCGGCAACGCGCTATCGCAACAACAACAGACGCACTTGTCGCCATAACAACTATCATCGCACGGTGCTACGACAACGAGACAAGAACGGGGGTCCAAGTGCTGCAAAAGAAAGTGTTTTACACAAATCGGAAGGTCAAGAGTTGCCCGGCTGCATGCCATGCTAACATGCTATGCTAACGCTATCTGGAAATCCCATCAGCTCCTTTAGCAGAAAGGAAACTCGCCCCGGTGGCCCGTTGGAATACGAGAGGGTCCAAGTGCTGCAAAAAAAGTCTTTTACACAAATCTGAAGGTCAAGAGTTACCCGGCTGCATGCCATGCTAACATGCTATGCTAACGCTATCGGGAAATCCCATCAGCTCCTTTAGCAGAAAGGAAACTCGCCCCGGTGGCCCGTTGGAATACGAGTTAGCACGCCTGCTAACCATCGGATGGATGGATGGAACTGGCCTCTCGCCACAGTCTACAGGAAGTTGACCAGCACCTCTCAGCGGCACACAGGAAGTCAACCAACAAACAGGAAGTGAACCAGCGCCTCAACACAAATCTACCGGCCCGTTGGAATACTAGTTAGCATGCCTGCTAACCATCGGATGGATGGATGGATGGAACTGGCCTCTCGCCACAGTATACAGGAAGTTGACCAGCACCTCTCAGCGGCACACAGGAAGTCAACCAACAAACAGGAAGTGAACCAGCGCCTCAACACAAATCTACGGGAGGTCAACTGGCAAAGAAAAATGAAATGAATCATCTGTTTTTATGATCACGTCGGCTGATGTGTTGAGTCCCCTGATCACAGAGATTGGTGTCGATGTTCGTCAATAACACTTGTGATCAAAATGCTTCAGCTTGACATTCCCTCAGCACTCTTGAAACAGTTTGTCCTTCCGCAATTTTCTCTCCGGACGGACGTGTTGACCGTGTCATGATCACCAGTGTCCGTGGAGGCTTTGCCATTTGCAGCAAAAGCATCAGGCGGGAGGACCACCAGGGTGATGACATCGTTAGAAGACCCCCCGGCAAAGCCCCTCAGTCGTCCTAAAATGGAGCGCCCCCCCCGCCCCCCTCCGGAGCTCAGCTGGGGGTGGTGAAGCACGCTGGGACTCAAATGGCTTCCACTCAAGCTAAACGTCGCGCTCGTGTGATCTCGTCGAGGTCTGCTCGGACCACACCCGGACAAGGACCTGCCACCTCATTAGACGCCGCTGGACCCCGGCTGGACGCCGCGTGAAGGCAGCTGACTTGATTCAGTGGAATCGAAGGGGCTCCTCTCGTTTGCTCTCAATCTGCTTGGTCGGTGTGGCAACCGACAACCTACGCGGCTACCTTCATGAAATGGGTCGGCGATAAAAACTGGCCACTTCAACATGTCCTTTGACTTGAATCCTTTCATTGACTGCGAGTGTCTAAATGTGTCATGCAGCTGTTAAAAAAAAAAAATCATAAATCACCCCAAAAAGACACCCAAGAAGAGCACTTTGACACAGTCGTGCATGCCTTCGTCACATGTCGGCCGGATGACTGTCGTGCGCTTGACTTTGGAGTCAGCCATGGCCGGATGACTGTGGAGGCCGCTTGACTTTGGAGTCTGCCAATCCTCCATTCAGCGTATCCAGTTGGTCCAAAATGCTGCTGCTCGCCTCTTGACTGGTACTTGCAAGAGGGAGCGCATCACTCCTACTCTGGCATCGCTTCACTGGCTCCTGATGCGGTTCGTTTGAGGAATCCATGATTTGTTTTCAAATCTTTATAAACAGCCTCGCACCGCCTGACCTCTCTGAGGTCCTCCGCACTGGCCCGGTGCCTCGGGTCTGTGGACCAGACGCTATTCGAGGTACCGAGAACTAAGCGGAGGTTCAGGAACCTTTTCCGTTGCCATTCCCTCTCTTTGGAATGACCTCCCGCTGAGCGTTGGGCAAGCCACTTTGCTGCCCCGCTTTCAAACACGTCTTTAAACTCATTTTTTTATTCTTTGGCTTTGGACTCCGCATGAGACGTGATTTTGAGTTGGACTGTTTGTGTGCTTTCTTCTGTCTTTCGTTATTCATTTATTGTTTGTTGTTGTATGAATTCTTTTTTCTCCATGAACAGCACATTGTATGCAGCGTTGGTTGTTTTAAAGTGCTGGAGAAATACACTCAACTTGCGGCGAGTTGCAAATTTACTGGGCTGACACCAGATGACAGCCGTCGAAGCACCCGGTGAGCCAACAACCAAGAGATGAAATTTTTGATGACAGCCAGCGAGACGCCAAGAGGACCGGATTTCAACTTGAAAAAAGGATGGCTTGAGAGGATTGGGCTGACACCAGATGACAGCCGTTGAAGCACCCGGTGAGCCACCAACCAAGAGGACAGCCAATGAAATTTTTGATGACAGCCAGCGAGAGGCCAAGAGGACGGATTTCAACTTGAAAAAAGGATGGCTTGAGAGGACGGTGGCTCCAAAAGACCAGACGGCCATACCACACACACCCGCACGTCAAATTTCAAATGGCAGCAACGGCACAAGCCCGGGAAGATGACTGTGTTGACTAAGAATGGAGAGACTCGTCACCTGTGGGTTCAAAGGTCACGGACCACACAAGCACCCGACACCACTGCGCAACCAAGCGCGCGCACACACACGCACGCACACACGCACACACACACACACACACACACACACACACACACACATATGAGTATACAGTGTAACCCGAGTCTCAGTGGTGTGCGGGCGATGACTGTCGTCATGCGCTCATTGACACGTCAACTGCTGACTAACCCGCACGTGGGCACGCGCACGGCCAGACACCACTTTGTGCGCATCTCGATTAAAATGAATCGTCGTGAATGCGAGGAACTGACGTGCACACTGACATCA